TAATAATAATAATAATAATAATAATAATAATAATAATAATAATAATAATAATAATAATAATAATAATAATAATAATAATAATAATAATAATAATAATAATAATAATAATAATAATAATAATAATAATAATAATAATAATAATAATAATAATAATAATAGGTAAGTAATAATAATATGTTAGTAGAAAAAGTCGTCTACATCTCATCACTATCTGTAAACAATGAAGTTCAATATTCCGTATTCGTTCAGCAACTACTATATCTAACAGATCAAAGAACAAAGTGACAAAGCAATTTACTAACCGAAACCAAGAATAACATTATAAGTTGTCAAACTGACACGAAACAAATATATAATAGAAGAAATATATATTTTTCTTGCATATATTTTTGCATTTAAATACATATTTTTTTATTATTACATAATAAAAAAATAGTTTGGTAAAAGGAAAGCAAGGAATTCCAAAGATAATTACCCGCATCTATTACATATTAGGATTTGTTTTCATGATTTAAAGAGTAAGAAGGAAAGCAAAGAAATGATTTAACACATTTAAACCATCATTCTGAATTGTAACTTAAATTAAGCATAACAAAATTCGAATGAAGCGAAGCTTTTATGGAAATACGGTGAAAAAATACAGAAGAAGCATGGTATAATAACAACTGATCACAAATTGGCCAGCAAGGAAATCAAATGAATAGAGGCCAAAATTAACGGTAAAGCGAAGAAGCGTTTTGAATTTTACGTGCTGGATGATATTCATAGACTTTTTTTGTTCCGGAGAAAATTCCTGGAGGTGGTAGTTCACTGACCGGGATGAAAGTGAAACGGTCCATTTGATCAGCACAGGAAGCTACTCGGGGAGGCGGTGGTGGAGGAGGTGAATCTTCGTCGACTGATACATTGGGAGTGGATGAAACCTGTGTGAAATGGTTAAATGGGTGAACCGTTGGGCGTCCGATTCGGGACGCTTGATTAGGTGGTGGAGGGGGAGGGCAAGCTGGTTTTGGAATTCTAGTCGAATTAGATGGATTCAACGATACAGGAATGCTTGATAGAGCTGTGTTACAATTATCTGGTAATGACGGTTGAGAATTCCTTATATCCTGAAAAAGAGTCGTGAAAATGGTATCAAAAAAGTTAGTAGTTAGCAAAAGATTCGTAATAATTTCGGATTTATTAACATAATTATTTTGCCCATACGAGAAAAATTCGTAATTTAGGTGCTAGCTTGTGAAAGTTATAAATAACTAGGTCATTATATTCTCCACATTCAAATAAAAATAACATTAAATTAACATACATCAGAACTGCCAGATCGACGCAAAGAAGACACATCATTATCAATCCTATTTGGTCTCAAAGTTTTGAACTGTTCTGAAGCGGAAGTTTGCTTTATTGATAAAGACCTGATATCTTTAACAATTGGCTTGGTTTTGAGTGACGGTGGAGTTGGTGGTGCTAATCCTGGTCGATTGATCTGAAACTCTTGGGAAATGAAAAATAATGTGAAATCGTTTGAAGTGGCAAAGCATCTGCACACTAATGTATAGAAAATGCATCGAAATGTTTTATTTAACTGAAATTCATACCTGATTAAACTGTTTTAGTCGGTTTGCTATTCCAGCAGAAGGTTGGCGGTATATACCAGGAATTTCTGAACATTCTACCAATGATGTCGGAAGTTGCTCAAAAGAAAATAAAGCTTGTTATTCTAAAGATGGCACGAATAAAATGATGTTCGAAAAGCTTCGTTTATATGATGGAAATAATAAGTTGATTCGTCAAAAGCAGAAAGACAAAGCACAGCAACAGCGCAATTATTAATGCATATCATGCAACTCGACAAATATCAGGTATTTGCTACAATTAGAACTGACAATGAAATAAAAGCCATTTGAATGAATGATCCTAAAATTACCTGTTCTTGAGATTCCGAATGACTTATTGACTTTACCGAGTGCATTTCCGATGGTTTTGGCAGAAGCGGTGGACTAGCTATTGCACCTAAATCTAACAGTTCATTTAATAAATATGATTCTATTTAGTAAAGAAAACGATGAAATAGTTCACGATTAATTTTCGGCAACAAAATATTTTCTTTTTTTTAAAGCCAAGAATGAACCTTTGAAGATGTTCGCTTGATTCCTCTTGTTATCGGAGGGCTTTTTCGGGATACCACTAGCAAAAAGACCACTAACTCCTCCAACAGTTGGAACTTTTGATCCACTGCTAATGCCAGTCCAATCATTGGTTTCTGACAAATCTGCAGAAGAAACTTAAATATATAGAAAACAGTAGCTATAAGAAAAGCTACTGTATAAAGCTATAGAAAACTATAAAAGAAGGATTTGTAAGCAAATATTGTAATCATCGTGTGTTTTGCATAATGCCCGAATCCTTTTTTCAGTTTTTTTTACGGATCCATAAGGCTATTCCTTCCTTAACTTTTATCCGTACAATCACTTACCTGAAACCCTCCCTCCGAGCACTGGTGCCGATCTATCATTAGTCACAGTTTTCCGCAACTTCATACCAGTTTGAATTTCATTCAGTAGTTTGGATCGATCATTAGCTTTAGATTGTAAAGCGGTAAAGCCTGATCTAACACTTAACGAGGGTAATACTGAAGGTGGTGGTGGTGGTGGCGGTGGAGGTACCGGCATCTTTTCCTGAAAAGTAGTTTTTTTAAAAATACAATTTTTTAGAGCTTTTAAAATGAAAATTTGGAATTCATTTACAAATGACCACATAAACCTACTGAAGACTGACAAATATTTCGAAAACGGAACTGAAATATTCTCATGTTTCAATGATACAACTAGAAAGTTAACCGCAACCATATGGTTTCATCCATCAAAAAGTTAAAATATGATTTGCATGAAGCCGACCAAATCCAAATACTCCTAAAGTTCACTTACTCATGCACCAACTCTTTTCTGCTGAAAAAGATCCTCGAGGAATGTTGTACTATGCACACAAATATATTTATATCTATACTTGCTAAATTACAAATATATTTATATTTTATGTTTATAAATTTATACTTGCGTATCCTATAGCTGCATTAGTTGTTGGCTTGCCTGTTTGGACGAAAAAAGAAAAAATTACTGTCCGCAGAGACGTCAACGCAGTGCACTAAAATGTGAACGAGCGCAATCCAGCTCATATCAAAATGCATTGATGAGTGGAAGATAGTTAGTGAAACTAAAAGTTAAAGCATATTTCGAAAGGGCAGAATTCAAAGTTTTATGGATCAACATCAATCCCACGAATTTCAATTTCTCTAAAAAGACAAGTGGCGTAACAACCGAACTTTGAAAATAAATTTAGATCTACCAGTTATTTATTTATTTCGTGATAACAACCACAAGAAAGCATATAACTGACAGGACAAACATGAAATATGCAATTTTTAAACATCTTCCATAATCAAATTGTCAAAAATTATTTTAAAAATAATTTACATCCAAAACAAAAGTAAAAAATAAGACAAAGTGTGCACCGTAATGGATAAAAGGCTGATGCAGAGAGTTGGGAGGCCTTAAATACTTATAATTGTGTATTTACTGATGCCAGACCTTAAATAACTGGGATAGATAGTGTATTTACTGATGTCAGAATACCCCTACAGTTCCACAATAATGCATCCCAAATAATAAAGTGAGCAGCTGGCCAAAACTTTATCCTCTATTTTTTTTGATTTCACTTTCCACACTATATTATTAGCTGCTTCCTAATCATCTAGAAATTCTGTCACAAAGTCAGATTCGACTATGAAACAAAGAAAAATTTATCAGTATCGAATTTTGAATTCTTAAGCAAATTACAACAAATTTTATATCAAGCATATGATTAAACAAATATTCTAGGTTTGTTGTTGCTTCTTTTTAAAGTCCACTTTTTGGACGCTCGTATTCGAATCAACAGAGAACGGCATCAGCTTACTGTAATGTTCGGTACCCAGAGTAATATCGTACATTCGCCCCTTTTGGCGAGGAGGTGTACCTTTGATATATTTTTCAGGTATTGGGACATAATACCTATTACCTTGCAAATCTATTGCGTAATCATAAACGACCGGATTATCCAAAGCTTTCTCCAATTCCTTGTCCAGAGTTTCATCCGTTACGAAATGTTTACTCCGTTCGACCTGACACATTTCATGTATATAATAAAAGTACATGAAGAAGGAAAATATAGAATCGGGAAGAAAACTGACTGAAAAAAAAACGAAGTGACTGCAGAGATCTGACAAACTACCAAAACATAAGAAACAAATTACCATTTGAAGCACTTCTTCCATCCTTTGTGTCACATTTGCTTCTCTTTTTTCCAACTCTTTTTCAATACTTTTCAAATACTCGTATTCCATTTCCTTTAGTTCTTCTTTCTCACGTTCGCTCCTTTTCCTGCATTCATATTTAAGGAACTTTTACCAGGTGAAAGGATCTAATAAAATGTGAAAGTAAAGTTAGTCATAATTGTAAGTGATATAAAAAAAAATAACGAGTACAGAAACAAACTCTGCTGCTTCTCGGTTTCTCTCTTCATTCATTGCTAGTAAATGCTCGAATTCTTCATTCTCTTCCCGTATTTCCTTAGCTATCATATCTTGAAATAGTTTCCTTGTAAACTTCTAGTCAAAGATGGGTAGACTTTGCAAAAGATATGTTGATTAGCTAAGTTTTGAAAAAATATAATACCCAGTGAAATATTTAAAAAATTTGTACCTTCATATCTGTTTCTAGCAGATTCTTCTTTGAACAATTTACGTAATGATACTATAGCATTGTTGTAAACATGTCGACGCCATAATAATTCTTTAACAACATCAGGTCTCATCCAACGATGATGTACAACATGATACAATACCTTTAAATGAACATCAGCCTAACGAGCAAGGATGCTTACTTACATAGTACTTCGGCAATAAGCTATTTAAATGAATTTTCTAGTTTAAAATAACCAATAACGGCAACGAATTAAGTAGAAGCTAGAAATAATTGATCCCGAAGAATTTGAAAATCTTATTTTGTGTAAGAAAACGGTAACGAAATGTAATACTCTTTTGGCAGGAGGGCAAATTGGCGGCTTCCCGGGTGGCGGAATCTTCCTGCTTATTGATCGGTAGCTTTGCAAACTTACACCCTTTGATGGTGCAGTTTTCAGCAGAAATACTGGTGCAAAATTACTGAAAATTCTGCAAAATTTGCTTCAACACTGACAAAAATATAAATAAATGTATGGGGAAGAGAGAAAAATAATGAAAAAGAGCGGGGAAGATAGGGACAGTATCTACGATATGCGACATGATGGAAGGATTTAAACTGAATTAAATGACTTGAAAGGAAACGAAAATCAAAATTTACCAGACAGAGCTATAATGTAACGATGAGGATAATATCAAAGGTGTCATTAGCTTAATGAAGGAAATTCAACCACAATGGTATCGGTTAACGCTCACTTTAATATTTCTTTGATTCCAATTTAGCGCATTTCGGTGTATTCTCCTGAAATAAAGTTCTTCTACTTCTAGCAAACGCCTATAAAATCCGAGTGACCTCCCAATCTTCCACTACCATGATAGTTCACATATGGGGAGAAGTACAAGTTAAATAATGGTTGGTATATAAAACTTCTTGCAATGAATGAACACATATAAATACGATATATCATCTAAGCATAAACATAAGTACTTGTTCCCAATAATGTATTTTAAAGCATTTCCTTCATTCAGATAGCCTCATATCCCAAACCAAAGAATATTTAACGCCTCCAGGTCAAGGGTTGAATGAAACGAAACGAACCACTGACCAAAAAGTATAAATACCTGTTGCAAGTCGTCTCTAAACCCAAAGGAGACGCTACATCGGGAAACTAGTTGATCCTTCGGTCCAGTAAGTTGGTGGGGGCTAGAAGACGAGCAGTAATAATAAGATGGATTATTAACATTTCAAACATAAGTTATCTGAAATTTTTTGGTGTTCAAATTCGAAGAGCTAGGTGTCTGGATGATCGCAAACAGCGCCAAATATGGTACTTACATATCAGTATGCAAGACATTACTATCAGCGATCTTTCAGAATAGATGCATGAATGTGATTCCACTCAACTACCCGTGAATAATGTATTGAGGGTTGCTTCTTTCACTACTTTTTTTAAAGAATATCATCTGACCCTTGTAAAGTAAATATGTTATTTGAGCAAATATTACATTTATGAAAATTCATGGATTATACAATTTGATTCAAAATGATGCTTTTTAGTACTGTTCGATATGTCGAATCTAAGCACTTCATCCGGTTCAGAGCTGGCTTGGAGACTGAAAGCTATCGGTGACGTCGAGCAGAAAATAGCTGAATTGATCAAACATGCGCAAACGTGTGTTAACGAACTGAGCAAAGAGAAACAGGTAAGTACTTTGTTTGTATATTCTGCTTTTGAGAAAGCTTTACAGCATATTTTATTGGAATGCGAAGTGATACTTAAATTTTCCTTAGGTCTCCCATCGTACTTTGATAAAATTCTTGAAACGATATGAACAGAACCTCCATTATTTAATTTTTCAGCAGATAGTTGTTGTGTTTCTTGAGGATCATTTCATTAGCCAATGAAATCGATATACGTGAAATAATCTGTTTGAAGTGCGAAAAACAGTGTTGCGCATCAGTTATCCTTGCATAATGAGGACCATTGTTTTCACGTTTTTTTGCTAGTGAGAAAAAATGAACTGATATCAGTACTATCGAACACGCTGGAGGAAAAGACACTAGTTGTTATCAGTGTGACTTTTTACACCACTAACAGTATTCGATTATCGATTGATAAGAGACGATTACCTCGGTGTGTTTAGCTTCATGTAGCGCTACAGTACAGTATGGTTCACATGTCAATTTATTGTGAGAACTGAAGGAATTACCGGAAAAAATTGAACCTGCGAAAGCTAAAATGGCATTTTTCATGAACTTACGCTTGGCATCGTTCTTTTTGTTCATGAATAGCTGTTACAATAATTTCTATGAAAGGGTATTTTAGTTTCATTTCAGATCAGCAAATCTAAGATGGAGGAAGCATCATCAGCATTCAAGAAGTGCCTTAATTCGATCGAAAGTGATCTTAATGCTCAAATGCAGTATTTAAGTCATGTTTGTGTTGGCACTCCTCATCAGGGTTCAACTTTTGCAAGTCAGCAGAATATAGCTCTTGCGGAACAAACATTAGTTTCTTTAAAGGACCGGTTATCAGCTATACAACATATTTATCTCCCTGTTACGGCAGATATCTCAGGGACGAGATAACAACAAGGAAATGAAGGGAACTATCGTTTTCTTAAGCAACATGGTTTACTTCTACAGATATTTGGATAGGATCAGATTCGCTTGTATATGTGCATATTCAAGAATTGCAAGAAATGAAGGAATAATTTATTTGCTGCTTGTTGGAAAAATACTGGAAACTGTTTTACTTGTTGGGAAAATGGAAAACAAAAAGGATCTTTTATATTCAAGTAGCATATTTCCAAACATGACGAAAACTAAGAGAAGTTTGAGCATTGTGGATAACTTGAAATTTATTCTTATTTTAATGGATTATTTCCAAGTGAAGCATTTTGGGTTTCATTTTGTGATCCAATATTGATTACTTCAACTTTCTTGTCAGACCATTTCTGTCTTTTTCATATTGCATTATTGACGTTTACGAAAGGGTACTCGTTAATAATCAATGTGAAGAAACCGAAAATATGTGAAACGATTGTTTGTTTTATAGCAAAAACAAACAGTGTTTGTATTCCATCGAAAACGATCGGGAATTTCTTTTTTTTTTTTCTATAAATCGTCTGTCATTAACAAATGGATCAGAGAAACCTGTAAAATGCGTAAACTCATAAGGAAATATGCTGTTGAGATATGATGTCAGGAAACATGGTGTTGAGATATGATATCAGGAAACATGCTGTTGAGATATGATATCAGGAAACATGGTTTTGAGATATGTTGTCAGGAAGTATACGCAGATGAAAAGTAGAATTCTCTAGAGGAAGATATATAGTTTAAAGCAGGGAACCTTGAAGCTGTTCTTATAAGGGAGTAGGGGAAGTTTACTACAAACTGATCTTTCCATTTTGATCTGATGTGACCGAGCAAACATGCATTTTGCTTTTTAAAACTCTCAATTTCCGAAGATTCGAAAAACTTTTCGAAGAGTAAATATCTATCGCTGTGGACATGAACCATCTGACAAGTTTTGATGGGAGTAGTTTGGATGAATCAGTACCATATGATATGAGGAAGCAGTAATAGTAAGGTACTACTTTTTAACCGTCATTTATAAGTTTGTATTGTCGGTAAATATTTGGCTCTTGAGAAGTGAAGCAGTAATGGAGACATTGCGTAAGAGACTTCCGAGAAATATAGGGAAAACTAGAGATTCAGGAAACGGTTTAAATTATAAGTTGCCCATTGTGACACGCAAAAAAAAAGCCAAACAATCGTTACTGCCCATGCGACACGTTGCAAGACACCTTATAGCAAATGATAGGACCACCATTGCCATCCTTGAAGCATCTAAGAGGATATGCTGCAATTTCGTTATGGATACACTCTCTTCCAAATCATCATTCTCACTTGGTTCCCCTTACACAAATACTGAAAAAGTTTCAGTCTATTTTAAGTGCCATCCAGGTCAAGAATGAAAGGTAATCTCAAGGAGAGAAAATTGATAAAAATACGTTAGCAGTGAATGTGCCTTTAATTTCGTCTTATCACTCAATCAGTCCATGTGACACAGAAGTATTACGACGATCTATTTATAACGGAATATACGAATCTTAATAGCTTGTTTAGTTAACAAACCTGTAAAGTCCAAATAGGCTAGTAGAACGAAGTATAACCAGTCCAAGCAAAGTTTTTTCCGTGATAATTTCTCCTTACTATTCGCTTGATAATATTCTAGCAATATGTCAACAATGTAAAAACCAATTCGGTACTACAGTCTAATATATATAGTACGGTGATGCTGAAAAATAAACAGTAACTTCTGTTTCTACTTTCTGCTAATGTACGATATTCAGGCATGTGTTTCATAGCAATTAGAATTTGATACTCAATGTATTCCTACCTGAGCAGCTATATTAAGCGTTCCCTGGCAACAATAAAAATATGACGTGTTGGGGAGATGCATACACGGCATTATCAATTCAGTCAGGCAGGGCATTGCTAGGTTTGACCTACGAAGCTCGATCTCGATTTGCTTCATAGACTACTACACTATATTCATTACAAAAAAAAAATCAACCTCCGTATAATCAATATGCGTGGCGTCATCTATAAAAATTGCGTTTTAGGAAATTTGAATTGTCGCATTTTGATCATATTTAGCACTACAAAAGCACCGATTTCCGCTACTGATATCATCAGTCTTACCTTGAATGACTTGTCGAAAGATAGCAGATAGATGGAAGGAAGTATAAAATATAAAATCTACTTCGGTATATTTGAAATGAAATATTAACATTTATCAATATTTCATTCGAGTGCTCTTCAGACTTTTCTGTTGATATGGTCCCTGTAGTAAAGTAAAGTAAGCGACGATTTATTGTTAGTTACTAATCTTGAGACGAATACTATCTCATATTAGTCACATCGTTTATGTCCACATTTGCTTTATTTTAGTTTGAACTTTTGTAGAAAAATGAAAAATAACGCTAGCCGATACCGGAACTCTTCAAAAAAGTAAGATTCAGGCTTCAATCAAAATAAGCCCAGGATATTATCTTTTTAGTGTATTCTTTTTTACTCATTTCAATCTACACAAAGCTTGTAGACTTCGCTTCATTTTTAGCAACTTGTCTGAAATTAAGAAAGAATCAACAAATCAAGTCCATGACAAGCAATTGTTATCAATGATATTGTTGACAAATAACGAAGTCTTCCATCAGCTAGTGATATACCCAGGTCACCCAGGTCTTCAACCTTTCACATTGGACGATAATGCAACACTGACACTTCTGCTGACAAAAATAACACAAGGTAGCACTATACAATACCAATAGAACTAACACCAATAAGAAGAATTTGCTATCTAACCTGGAAATTGTTTTGGCTTATTGCCGTTGGCTGATCTTAAATGCTAACTCAAATGTTAACAGCATCAATACCTAGGTTTAACTATTCAGCGTGATTCCGAGTTGATTCCCAGGTCCTAAACTTACTTTATGGAAGTTCTAATAGATGTTTCAAATAGACTATATATATCTTGCACGGAACAATACACATTTCTCTTTTTTTTCCCGTTCATTTTCGAATATTTTTAACTATGTGTATGGATAGGTGCCCTAAAATATAATTAATTATGCATCTTTCTGTACAGTTGACAGCTGTTATCAATTAGTTCGATTTCAATGATATGAATCCTTATCGTTAACAATATGATAATCTGATAGAGTTTTTTTTTTTTCGAAAGTAAAATAGATTCTTTTTTTAGAATGTTTACCAAATTCCATTATCACATGAGTTTTTTTTCTTTTTTGTCCATTGATATACAATCATCGCTAGATAATCTTCAAAATCAAAGCAGTTACTGTCTTCTTTTCTTCTCAAAATATAAATTCCCTTAAAAAAAAATCCCTAAATCTGAACCGGAAAAATTCCATCTTATGCACTACTAATTTCACTGAGATTAGTGAAAAACTTATTGAATGGTATATAGAAGAAAAGATTTGATCAACTTCCCATCACATTACTATAACCTGTCCAATCTGTTCAACAAAAGCTTCACTGATTATAGTACCAAAAAAATCAGTGATGAGCATATTTTTCATGAAATTTTGTCAACATATCCTATAACTGACGACATTGTGCAAGAATGTAAAGAATACCAAACATTTGCAGAAATTTATGATCACAAGTAAACAGTATTGGTATGTATCCATGTGGTCACTTTAGATTTGAAAGCGCATATGGTTCATTGAATTTTGTTGAGCAAACTTTTGCTTTAAATGGAATCTCCATTTTTCATGTACTGAAATAAGGAACTGACTTAAGATGCTATTCTAATTCCGATTTCTCCGTTAATGACGGTTTATTTTATACTGGGATTTTTAAAGAAAATTCCTTTTTTAATTTTTTAAAAGAAAAACGATTTTTTCCTGAATTAAGTTCACTCTTAGTCACATTTATGATCGATCGATGACATTCAAGGAATTGAGATGTATTTGACGATTTGGAATAATTTAGAAGTAGTCTAATGAATTGTCGTAATTTACCGAGAAATGAATAACTGACTAATGCCCAATAAAAGTGAGCAACTGAGAGGGAGAAAGACATAGAAGAGATCGATAATTACACATAAGTATGATAGGTCCGGATAATGATGTTAAATTTACAATTAATCCTTTCGCAATCTTTAAAAAATTATTATCCCGGCCGGCACAGATATTAAATTTTGTTGTTGATTAATAAAAACAGCCAGACACAGACATACTTGTTTACTCCTCGTCAAATCACTGAAAACTAGAAGGCTCGAATATCTGCGCTGCAGTAGATGGTAATAGGTGAATAGTATACCTTACCGTATTGTATGATTCAAATAATTTCCCTTCTAATCTTCAACACTTTATTTGAAAAATTTGCTCTCTTAAATTCTGATATATTCCTATTAATTATCTGTTGGGTTTGAGTAAAACAACGATGGAAAGTTATATTCGAGAAGCTGGGGCATTTTTGGGCGCTTCTATCGCACGACATCCATTCCACTTCGTACTACTCCCCGCTTGTTCCTCCTGCTTTTTTTCATCCCTTTCTTGATTCATTCAGTCATCTTTCTCGAGAATCCAGCGCAATCGATTCAAGCAAACTTTTCGTATCTCTCAAGTGAACGTAACAAGCATAAGTATGTTTTTAAATTTTGAAATTCAGGGACTGAAGGCTCAGAAATTAGAAGTTTGAAAGATAAATTCTCAAAAAGTGTTAGGAATATATTTTGACAATACAGTGATAAAATCGGTTTTTCTCTCCAGCAAAGTCCTTTGATTTTCTAATTAATTAAAGAAAAGAAAGTTTCAAAGCTGAAAAATATATTTTCTTTCCAGGATCGAAAAAATATTTCTCCATGGAGTATATTGTTATGATCGTACATTTCTATCGTCAAATTTACGTATTCCTAACTTTGAGATATTTTCTGGCTCCATTTATGAACTTCAATTTGTTGAATTTTATCAAAATCTCCGGAATAAACTGGAAGTGTTAAATGTAAAGAGATTTCATCTTATTCATAGCAAAATTTGTTAGCCATGTAATTATTTCCTAATGAAGAAAATTAAAAGTGACGTATAATAATGAATGTGATAAGTTATGCCAACCTTTGCTCAAAAGTACCACAGGATGGACGATACTGTTTTCCTGATTTATTCCTTTTGTCCTACACTTACCTGGCACTATCGCAGCCTATCCAATATCACCTTTCCATGCACAAGTAAATAATTGATCCAAATCTTCCCGAACTAATATCTCCTAACACAAATCAATCAATAGAAAACAACTTTTGAACATTTTTCACGAGATCCCTGTTAATTTTTAGCACTTCTAAGAATATTTTCACGAGTACCATCTATGGAGGCGTACATGCCGGAAAACATTCCGGCATTATTATTTCGGTTCGATTTATTTGCATGATTTTCAATTTCCCACCATCCTATCACATCACACAATTCGACGATATCTGGGATAGCTACATGGAGCGTAACTTGAAGTATCCTTCAAATATAAAAATGACAAAGTGGAGCCGCAGCCAATATGAGAGAGGTATGAAACTGATAGTAGAACGAACTCGAAGACATTTCAAATGAAATTTGCGCATTTCTTTCAAATTATCGCTTACTTGGTAATGAACATAAGTAACTTTCAAGTTACTCTCACTGTTAGCATTCTGTTTGATTTCTTTCTGCTGTTTGAGTTCATTAAAGCATGCTTTCAACTTACGCTTCATCTTGATTTCCTTTTATGGCGTCTTAGCGGCTAGTCAGTTTTATACATTATTTTATTAAAATATCGACTTCAGATCACTATTATCAAATACATCTTTCCAGAAATTTTACAAATTAAAAGGTTCTAAGTTGTTCAACACATAAACAAATTAAACTGTATGATAAGTACTCTTGCAAACTGCATGATGTATACTCTTACAAGCTGCGTTGTGAATATTCTTGCATGAGATCATGTCAGTTGTTTCGATTACATTTTGATGAAAGGTAAAAGATACAGTTTGCATGTTTCATGCATATTTCATTTCAATACGATGTTGCACTAAAATACATTCCGTGTCAAAGGTCATTCCGGACAAAACTTCTCCATGTGGATAAATTTTAGCAAAGTGACCTTTTTTGAAGAGAGATTGATTAAATAGGAAATTGTGAAGAAAAGAGAACCATTTTATGTTTCCCATACAAATGTCGATTCATAGAAACACATCAAAAGTTTACTTTTTCATGGTATTCGTTGCAGTACTTCCTATTTTGAAGAAATAAAATCAAATTTTAGGATGCGGACTGGTGACAGCTTTTGGCTTTCTCCACATCATTAGTATACATTTAGTACAAGTTGCACTTATCACACTATTTCTTGTCCTTTGTAAGCACTTTTTTAAATGTAAATTTTCCAGCTGTTCTAAATGCGCTCTCATAACTTCTACCGAGAAAGCTTAGATAAAAGATTTGAAATGCTGCATCACCGACAATTCGTCCAAATTTCAAGCAACATTTTATTTTAAGCAATAATTTATTGTAGCAATTGGCATTGATGACATGTTTATGATGCTTTCCATCTGGGAACGGACGATTTCCGCACCATCCACAGCTGGCACTGACCGCTGTCATTTGATGTGAACAACCTTCCGGCTAGTTTATCCTTTTTTTTTTCAATATGAGCCTTAGAATAGGCTAGCCTACATTACTAAGAACAATTAATTTAGCTTGTTGTGATGTTTCTCAAACATGGAATTGTATTCCAAAAGTTCTATTTTTTGCATAATGTTCTGAGAACGAAAACGGGATTCATGAAATTCACGCCTATTTTTTTTTTCGGTGACATGTTCGAAGATAACAAAGCCCTGGATTTAATTCGGAAATTTTGCAGAGAAAGCATAGTATCGATACTGTTGATTACAACAGGCAATATACTGGTTTTCACGTTTGGTTCATTTTCACCTTTTCCAATCATTCGGACATTTTGCATCTACAGCATCGTTCCACTTTTTGTCGTTTTCGTCTTTCAACTCACATTATTCGGCTCTCTACTGGCTGCGGAAGCTCCAAATTCTCTTGGTGGCAATTTGATTAGTTTTCCAATGGAGAAATTCGATCATCCAGTATGCTTTGAAGTTAAAAAATATATCGAGATAAAGTTGTTCCGGATGAGTGAAAAACCGATTTCCGGAATATTTCTTTTCCAATTAACTTATTAAAACAAAATCAATCTTAAACTGCCTTTTGGCATAATTAATCCACCTTTCCAGTACAATCTGAACGTTACCAACCGTTGTTGCCATTGCTTTATGCAACAATTTTCAAAAGCAAGTATTTCCTCGCACTTGTCTGCCTGAGTTATGTCATTTATTTAATTGGCTCCAGCATTATCCTAAATAGAAAATTGGATATCGGCCTGCAACTTAACTTACTTTTACCAGTTGATACAAGGCAAGATTTTTTCATGTTTTGAATTATAGAACAAAATCAAAAGATTCTTCCTCGACATTTACTAAAGATTCTCGACAAATGCGAAAGTAATAAGATATTCGGAAATAGTACCGTATGCTGATAATTGTGGTTATAAAAGTTTCTTACCAATGACATAATACAAAGTAATAAGCTAAAAGGTTTCAGTACTTACAAATATTTGAGAATGTATGAAGAATACTTTTCCGAATACAGTACACCGCTGGAAATAGTTTTGCCTGATGAACTGGATTATTTTGATCGCCATTTACAATGGCGTCTATTTCATGCTATTGCAATTCTCGAAAATACTAATTACACGATGAAGGCAACTTTCTGGCTTCCAATATTTCTAGATTTTCTAAAGTAATTTACCGAACTTATTATTGATATTTCCGTTTTCTGAAATTTTTTGTTCTTCTGTTTAAATGACGATAATGAGGAGCACCATACAAATAAATTGCAGCAAAAATTCCAAATTCTAGAAATAAAAGGAATACCGAACGATTTTTCGTCAATTCAGCTTCACTTCACGGAAAGATGGTACGTTTCCCGCAACATCCGGCATACAGGTTTGTTGGCTGATAACTAGCACCTTTTCTTTTACATCAATCTTGATCGATTACTTGTCTGAAATCGGAATTATTGACAAATTAAAGAACTTGCAAGTTTGCCAAAAACTTAAAACTCGAACTTAAATGCTTCTTTTTACTCGGTGATATGGCACATCATGATATATTAATGCAAAGTGTTTGTTGCATTTACATCAATATCATCGAAATTCATAATGTGTTGATATAAAATACGGTATCGTTTCACAGCCACATTCAGTATCATTATTTTTCAGGTAGTTTGTTAAGGATATAGTTTTTGAAGAGAGAAATAATAGTGGCTTATTCATCAGATATAGCAGACTTCATGTGCCACTCTTTAATATCACTTGTTTCAACAGGTAGCTATGACAAAACCTGAGTCACATTCTGAAAAAAAATTAGATGAATTTAAACGAGTGAAAAATCGTTTGAGAAGTGTAATGCATTTGATAAGGAAGGGAATGAAGATGGCCGAGAAGCGCTATTCAATACGATTTTTTTACCTATCACGTAATGTATGATTTGGTGGAACAGGATGATTTAATACCACACTTACTCTTCACCAACGCTCTTTTGGCAGGTTCTCAGTTCAATGCTTTTTTCTTTTTAATTAGGATTTTTTTTTTTGAAACTTAACATTTGTATTTATACTAGAACGGCTATTTTACAACAAAATTGTTCATAATCTGTTCGCGTCAAATCATGACCGCATGACTGACATGAATTAAACAAGTATTTAGCCTCAAAGTACCAGATGATAATGCCGATTAATGAGGGAACTAGTAACAGTTTAACGATCTTGAACTACTTCACTTGACTTGTCACCTTCCATTAGGTTGTCAATAACTATCAGATGATACGTAAAATACTTGCAGGGATGGCTTCCACTTGCGCTATCCTACTTTTGACGTCATCAATGATGAACTGTATTCTCATAATCTGGGCTACATTTAGCATCAATTATGGCGTCTTTGCATTGCTCAGTGTTTGTGGAACTCATTTGGATATCATATCTATCATTGTTATACTTTTAAGTATCGGCTATTCAGTCGATTACTCTTCTCATATGCTGGCACATTTCTATCATTTCAAACACCATTCAAAAGATCCAATCGGTAATCAATTAAGCCTTGAAACTTTTTTAAATTTCGATACCAGTAATTCGTCATCTAATAGCGAACAGAGAAGCAAACTATACTTCTCAATTAAATTTCAGGAGATACGTTAAGTATCGTTTGTTGGCCAGTTGTTCAAGCATCGTTGGCCAGTTGTTCAAGCATCGCTTTCTACGATAATTGGTGTGATATGTATATCGCCTGTTAAAGTCCGTTTATTTCTATATTTTTCGGATAACAATTTTTCTCTATTAAAGATGAAATGCGAAGAAAATGAGCAGGTAGTAGAGAGATTGGACTAGAGTCTTATTCTAAAACTAAGAAAGCTAGGAAGATTGATCACAATCTAACAGTAACTTTAATACAGTCTGTTTCAGGGTTATATCGTCAAAACTCTGTTTGCTGCATCGGTTTGTATCATAGTATTGTGGTACTACCTGCTTTTCTCTCTATTCATACTTACAAGTATTAAAATTTTAGTTTCCTTTCATCTAAAAGAAATACTTCCATTACCATTTCATAGTAATTTGTCTTCTACTAAATACGATGAACTTGTAAACGCTTTCATTTTCAGATCAGTGTTTTTCGGCAACGTCAATATGTTGTTGAAAGTAAATGTTAACTCATCTCACAATAAACAATAAAATTACCAAATAATAATAAATTCCTCTGCAAACAATGTGAAGGCAGCTCTATCAACGGAGTAATTAAAACAATGAAATAATTGACAATTATTGACAAGTTGCAAAGATACGATAATGACAAAACAATAATAATTTGATGGGAGAGAGAGTCTTTCTTTTTTTTTTAGATCCTTTCTTTCAAGATTTTAACTGCAAGTAGGTTTTTAGTGCAGAAACTAAAACTTAAGACAACATGCAATATACAGCGGTCACAAACAGAAACAATAAGCGAAAAAAAAGCCACGAGAACAACAAATCTGAAAAGCCTAAATGTTTCTAGAAAGGTTGGAAAAATTTGCAGTCGTGGGAGTTTCAGGAGTTGTGAACATTTGTGAAACCCATGGAAAAGCTTTTCCATTATTTTAAGAGCTAAGATTATACCGAAATGATTTACTTATAAAGATGACTACAAAATCAGATGAACAGAAAAATGAGACAAAATTATGAGCAAGATAATGTGATCAAATGAATGATAGAAAGTTTATTTTCCCCTTTAATTCTGTATTTCTTATTAAAATTTGCCAAAATATCCTACTAAACTTGGCTAATTTTGCTAAGAAAAAGCATGTCCAATGTATCGGATGTAAAGAAAAGTTCAGATGAGGGAAATCCTCAAAAAAACCGGTAAAAAGAAACAAAAGAAAAAAGTCTGTTTCTGTTTCTTTTTACAGATCAAATTTTAGGCAGCTACCCTTTGAAATATCCATAAATAAGTGTTTGCAAGAATGGGCATCGAATTACCTGGATGAAAGTTAAGTTCATAACCACTTACGAATCCATCTGAGCTCAACTGTGACAATTCGGATTCGGTCCATGAATGTCGGGTAATGGCTCCAGAACGAGCACGTTCTGCTTCATCTTCCCAAATTATTTTACCAATTTCGGCAGTCTGCTGACGAATTAGTTCAGATCTGACAGCTTCCTAAAATAATTCAGAATTATAAACCGAAATTTTGTTAAGCTTTACTAGTATTTCAAAAGACATATGCAAAAAACCCGCATATTTTAGGAAATCCAAATGGTAATTGGAAGGATTGAGTAGACTTTTCAATTTTTTAATCTGCTTCCAAGATGTCGATGCATAAAACTTGATTTAATTGAGTTATGAAAGTTTTTAGCTGTGCTAATGGGATGAAAATTCTAGACACACCGAATTACTGCCATAATGAAATATGAGCTGAGTATTTCCAGCTTGAAGCGTTAATTGTTGATTGAAGTTTGAGGTATTGAATAGTGCGGCCAGTTCTTCCAGTGGGATTTTATTGGAAGTTACATTTGTGGCGAAATGGATCTAAAGTTGATAACTATGAAAACTATGAATTCCTAATCAATTTACTATTTAAAAATCAAAAAAAAATCGAAAAAATTTTCACAAACGTCACCTGTACAAACTCTCCCGATAAATGCATATTCGTAATATTCAAGAAGGAGCTGTCATTTAGCAATGTCCTCAAGGCATTCAACTTTTCGTCTTCCTTGAAAGAATGTCCAATCACTTCAAACTGAAATTTGAAATCATAATGATTACCCGGTGCACAGCAGCATAATCCTCAACGTATTGGTATCTCAAATCAGGTTTCAGTGCTGTATATTGTCGATGGATTTAGTAAGGAACAAATTCACGAAAGACGGATTTTCAAAAGTCTTTGAGTCAACCACAGCACTCCCTCCCGACTCTTTTACAAACTTATTCAAGAAACGATTACCAAAACAAAGCAAAATAAAAATAAATATACATAAATCATTATTAAAATGTTGAAGAAACTCGGAAAATAGGTATACATACATAAATTTTCAATCCTTGCCGGGTTGCAAAAGCCAACGTTAAAACCTTATTACAGTACAAGCATGCCTTATCACAGTATAAACATGACTTATTACGATATTAGCATATCTCGCCACGATATAAGCACCATGCCTCCTCTTACAATTTATGTAATAATGCATCATAACAGCACGATAGTTCTTAAGGGTTGATAGTACTGATACTCAAATAAGATATATGTTGAAGAGATTTTAAGGAAAATCATATGGCAACAGCAAATAGTTGGCTGGAGCCAAGTCGTCTGAATCACTGACAGAACATTATTTACCTTATATGCTTTTAAAGAAAAAAATATGCTTTAGCGATGATTTAGCCATGTGTCCCACAATAAGTATATGCACATACCTTGTCTGATGGGCGCTTTATAAATATCAATCCGCGAAAACCAATTGAATCGCTGGCGCTGTATGACAGCTTATCGAAGAGGACAAAATATGAGAGAGGAGAAAATGGTAGGAGTGCAGGTGATGTGGCAGTAAGAAACTGCTTGAAATGTTTCACCTTATAAATCAATGAGCAAAATGATGAAGAGAGGACGTGGCTAACGGTCACTGTACAGAGGCTATCAGGTAATTGCAGTAACTTCTGAAGACCGTCATTTTGAGTGGGATTCGGAATAGAAGGGAGCACCTGTGAAAGCGAGAATCCACTCATTTCCATCCATCTTTTAAGATCTAGAAAATTTCAATTAATCAAAAGCGATTCAATTTCGAAAATTCTGATATCTCTCACTATTTAGCTACCAAGGTTAATCAATCATTTCCGCTGGTTTGCAATTTATGGATCGATTAATCGAAGTAGCCATTAAATGAATTTCAGGTGATTTAAACCACTAAAAAAGTCTTTTTGTAATGCTTATTCCATCAAAAATGGATTGTTCGTTAAGGAAGGTAAAAAATTAGAAACGTTTCAATAGCTAAAAGGGAGTAGAATCGATCGTTACCAAGTGGTAAATGTCGCAGTAAATTAGATTCAGTTGGTATTGCACGGAATGGATCGCTTTCATATTCAGGAGCAAAAGGATCCACTTTTGAAGTGATATATGTAATCGAAATGGACATGAAACGTCCTACAAATGTATCATATGGCCGTGCTTCTGGCCCCAAAATTGCAATGCCAGTGAGCGGATCATCGAATTGGTGCCGATAGCCAAGTGGAAAATAAAAACTATCATTGCTATCCACAATGACTGCACCAAATGGATTACGAATCATTTCTTTCACTACAGTACCATCCGATGCAAATATGAAGCGAACAGAACCATCAATGTCCACAAATAAGGCATGATATTCATCACCGCTGTAGAAAGCAAATGGGACATCTCGGTCGTCGTATAAAATAGTTGACGGTGTTTCGTTTGTTCTGTAAACTAATAGCTGGTTCTGTTCTGGTCGTACGATAAAACTAATTTGTAAGGATTAAAGTTTTTCGAATGTCATGCAGGTCAAACAATCACAATCATCTAGCACGTGCTTACTTCATGACTTAATACACAGCACATGATTGTGGAGTAAATAATAAATTATGCTAAATGAGTTTTTCAGCAAACGAATCTCTATTTTAGAAACCATTTCCAGCTTGTAACCGATCCAAAAACACCAGAACTTACGAGACGAAATGTGTTAAGAGATATGGTCGATCAGGCATTGCATAAAAGAAACGCTGAAATTGCTCGTCACCAACTCTTCGCAGTATTATACGTGACCGGTCGTCATAACCATATTCAACATCCACCAAGCCCGGCTGATAGACATGATGCACTCGACCATAGACATCGTATTCGAAATACATATTACCGCGACTTCGCGTCCAACCATTCGCATTTACAGTATAGTCTACCTATAGTTATTTATAATTATTCATTTTAATTTTTTCAGGTTCTTGAAAATATGCAAAACTTCAGCTTCAACTGACTTATACATAACAAACCTGGTCTACATTTTTCAAGTTTCCGTTAGAAAATGATATTTTTGCATCGTTGACAGCTTTTAGTCGTCCATCTAAGTCGTAATGAAGTGTCCATCGCCGGTCATCTGCTTCACCAATTGTATACTGCACTAACTAAAACATAGATACAATCAAAGTCTATTTACGATAATATTCAAAGAAGGGAAAAGAACAAGAAAAACAAATTGTCAGACCAAAACATCTGAAAATTCCGAAAAGATGAGAAAAAAAAAGGAAATTATACAAATAGTACCTGTCCATCCATGTCGAATGTTCGTTTTTCGGTTGGCCGCTTCTCTCCAATAACAATCCAGTCAACGACTTCAACCCAACCAAGCGCATGTCGTGTTACCCTCATCTCCACAACTTTCAGCTCATTAATCATTAACTTTCGCATGATTTCCTCATTCGCACTATTATGGAAAATCTCCATCACTACCTGAAAAAGCTTATCTGATCAGCAAAGTTTCTTAATTTTCGAAAAGATTCTTTAATGTATGTTCTATTCCAGCAATTTTATTTTGTGCAAACATCAACTACTTCTTATTGAATGAATATTCATGTAATAAACTCGAAACGAAAAGTGTGAATCTAAACAAAGTTACCGTTTCACCCATTATTCTACGTGTGTATAAATCATATAAAAAGACGAATTTATTCAGCTTGATCAAACGCCCTTGTCGAGAATCATATTGATACTTCTGAGGTTGCAAACGCACTGTATTGTAAATGACTGTCATTGTTATTAATCGGAAAAAATCATCATATTCATATAGGAATTCCACCAAACTTTCAGCAAAGCGACTGCAAGAAAATTCGTCAAAACATCGTGCAAATCATAAAAAGAGACCTGTTTAAAAGTACTAATACAAATACCATCTCGAATGACGGGTATAGATACCATTTCGGATAATGGCAAAACGGTAAGAAGCTTCTATGAAGTACTTCAAATATTCGTTTTGTGAAAAAATCAATATTCCTATTTCTGTAATGAGAATGAGCATAATTACCGATTTGAATGGATGACAGGCATATGGGCTTCACGAATAGCAGAATGTACTATACCTTGCCACAGATATGTCCTCTTCAATAAACTGCTGCTAACTTCCTGCACCTGGTATAAACGTCACAGCAAAATTTAAATATTTTAAAAAAACAAATTTTTGTAAAAAACCGCAATATTTATATTTCGTAGAACTAAAGAAACTAATAAAGTAACACTACAATGAAGGCTAAACTTGAAGTGACAAGCTATGTCAGCTAGTATTAGATGTATCGAAGTAAAATTATCACTTACTGTTCTTCTCCACTTATTATACTATTAAGATACCTAATAAAACCTCGGAAGAGAACTATGTATGGTATTTTTCCAAACAAATGTGTAAAAGAATTCTTAAAAAAAGTAAAAGTTATCAACACAGTGAAGGAATAAATTTTTTGCCCTCAAAACCTGTTTTTTTGTGTGTATGTAATATTGGTTATTGAAAATCGGACATAACTAAAAACTATATTGATTCGAAATTATGAAAACGGACCTTTAAGTTCCCACTTTGTTCTTCATATTTGAAGAAGATATTTTCGGCATCTGAAGTTATTTGCACCACTCTTCCATACATATCGCGTTTCACAGTTAAGGAATGCAACTGATCCGGTGTCCAATAATCCAACAACTGTCCATCATCGTCCATGCATGCAACATAAGATGCATTGGAGAATGAAACAGTGCGCTGCCGGCAAACTCGATCAAAAACGGCATACTGCATGAAGTGATGTATGATACCAGCTGGAGTTTTCAGAAAAGTGATAGAGCCGGTGCGATCTGTACGCCAACGATATTTCTCTCCGGACGGCATTTGTACAAGTGAAGGAATTAACTGGTTTTCCTTCTGGTAAAAGAATTTGCTGAAAATTTTCATCATTTAATCATAGGTTTTCAAAATTCCAGTATCAATTCAAAGTCTACTAATAAAAAAATTTGTTACGTACTGGATAAATCAGAAAAATTTACCGCTCAAGGTAGTTAATACCTCCGGCTACTGCCGACATCAAGATAATTCGGTTTAGCCGATCGTATTCAAAAACAATGGTTGAGGTACCCCAAGTTATTTGACTTGGCCTTCCCGACGGATCATGCATAATTTTCATGGCATCTATATGAGGTTGTTCACGTGAAGTAAGCGGAATAAAAGAGGTAATTTGACCGGCATCGTTATACTGAACAGCGAGTACTTCCTCATCAAGGCTATTTCGTATGGTATCATGCCTTCTATCACAGTCATATTCGATTGTGAACACATTACGTCCATTGATCTGAAGATGTGAAAGAATGCTGATTTGTTGAACACGTACAAAACCTAACATGCAATAGCACAAAATGAAAGTGAAGATACTAAATCATAAGCTAAACTCGAAAATTAGAATAAAACATGAGTTATTCCAAATCCTTCTCAATTTTTGTTTTTGTTAACATGACCAGAGTGATAAATTTATGAAAATTTTGTGAAAATCATTAGGGTAGAAGATATGAAAGACATTTAACCACGACAAGGAACAGTGGGCAAAACTCTGCATCAAATCAACAAAGACAAAACATATGAGAAGTTACATCAAATAACTAATTTGGAGTTCAAAGCTCAAACAAGTTTTCCTTCAACTCAGACATGCAATAAAAACATCTTGCAAAAAAAAGCATTGGGATTGCATTAGTGGCTGAAAATCAATTTGTTGAAATAAATCGTTAAATAGAGAAGTTAATGAAATGAAGACACTCGATGTATGAGTAGAGCATGAAGCCGTCACTGCACACCCTAACTCATACCCTTGGTCTCCTTCCGACCTGTTGAATACGACGCCACTTCTCCGGATCACGTCGACCGGATTCCTTGCGACGTATGTAGCCACGCCATTCAAAGCGCAAATTTAGCTCACGTCTTGGAGGATCTACTGCTTCCGGAAGAGTTATCTTCCGTTTCGAAATTGCTGTTTCATAGGGTTCTAAGAGAGGATGCGTTACGCCATCAAAATGAGTTCGAGCACCAAAGGCGACAACTGACAAACCTTCATCAAGCATCGTTACCTGCCGATCCTGCGCACCTTAATGCTAGCACTGGATGAAAATCCTAGCAGTGTTGCAATTGAAATATGTACAAGTTTTCCTTCCAACTTGCTAAAGAAAACTAATTTCCTCAAGCATTTCACAAATACTACTTTCTTCATTTGCATCATTCTTTCGTTGATAACAAGAAATTACCTCCCGAAATGTCATGTCAACCATCAAACTCCAATCAACAGAAAATTTGATTTCTCACATTTATCAACAACCACCTATTTCCCTTCGAAGTCCTTCATATATTTCTAAATTTCTAACCTATAACTCTGATCACTCCTCCCCCAAATTGTAAAAATTTCTAAATTTACCTTCTTCTGTGAATTTCTTATCAGAAAATTTATAAACTGTATATGGCTCATTATTTCTTGCCACTCTCGTTACCAAACTGTTATGTATAAGGTCACGTTTCGTCACTGAATAACAGATCCCGGCCGGATTCAGTAATGTCTTTGCACGTCCAAATTCGTCATATTCAAAACACCAATTTCGATCAAATGCTTCACGACAACGAAGAAGATGTCCAGGAAAGTATGAGAATTTAGTACTTTCTGGAAGACAACAACCGATTACTTCAGCTGATACTAAAGAATTAAGGTGAAAAGCAATCATAAAACGTGGAAATTTTTGAAATATAAATAAATAAACAAATAGATAAATAAACTAAAAAAAACACAACCCACCACCACTCGGAAACGTAATCTTTGATAATGTCCCATCAAACTGGTCGGAATTTAATACTGTTTGAAGGCCTGTTGCCGTCTCCAGTACAATTTTTCCGTCATTTGTTCGATGAAGTCGCAAAATATGTTCACCAGAGCCAGTTATTTGCGTCAAACGACCAAGACTGTAAAGAATGCAAGAAAAACGTTTTGCAAATCTTAAAAAATATTAAATATTTTGAATATCAAAAATAGATATTATATCTTCCCCGTTTAGAAATTTCTGGAAAGAGGACAAAAATGGAAAAACCAAAGGAAAAACTAACTGCGTGTCAACGTCATACGTGAAAGTGAATAGAGTATCGCCAGTAAGAAGGTTAGTAGTGCTCACGTGGAGGCCGACCTTGTTAAATACGTAAATTTCTCTAGTATGAGGGCTGTGGATACGGTATTGTCGAGTTTTTTCATCATATATTGCACTGGGTTTTTGAAGTTTTTTAACTTTGAAGTTACCCTACAAAGTATTTCAAATTCAAATACTGATTAAATTCAAGATCACTGAATTTACATAAAAATACAAAACAGTTAAGTTATTCAGGATTTAAACAATGTCTGCTTGTGCCACTACAGCTGACATGTGACAGTGAAATTCGCGATAACCCGTGTTACTATTACTACTATTACTATCATTAGCCAACTGCTGCAATACTACAGCATAAACATGAAAATTTTTAATTTTGTAGAAAATTTCCACCTTATCAGTTATATAGACCACTCCATTAGAATCAACAGCCACGGCCGATGGAGAGTGAAGAAAAGCAGAAGTAGCAATAGTTGGATGAAGATCTTCACATGGACAATTTGTACGATCACAGTCACATTTGCTCAGCTTTCCAGCTACTACTTTTGAATGATCATCTGGATAAATTGCTCGAATCTAAATCAAAAAGTAAACGTCGTAGATTTAAGTATCACTCGCATGATTCCCACGCTATCCACTGTAGTTTCAATCATGTCATTAAAGGGCTTTACACTGGATTATCATTTAATTCGTTGTCATTTATCATCCATTATATTATCCTATTTAAAATGGTATAAGAAATAATGATCCGGCGTGTTCCACTTCAAACCTCCATGATTTCCTGATTAAGAACGTCGAAAAATGCACTTTTTTCAAAAGTCAAACCTGATTTACTTTTTTGTTGTTTGTCTCAACAATGTATAAAGTGGAATCTGGTGCTACGGTAATGGATCGTGCTGCTGTCAGTGGCCGTTGTGGTAACAGATCACCTGCTAGTGTTTTCATCTGCTCGCATTCAACAAACGCTCCAGCTAGCAGTGTGCCCATACGAGTATCCAGTGATATACGATATACCACGTTTGTATCAAGTACGTACAGTCTATCGTTTAGCATATCCACAGTAAGTGATGTTGGCCAGACCTAAATTCATTCGTATTTATACTTTAAGAATGGGAACGAATAAAAACTGTTTTAGTCTTAAATCTTGAAAAAAATTTTTGTCAATCAGAAGAAAAGGAGAGGGAAATTGGAAAGCAGGAAGTACCAAAGATGAATCATTTTATTTGAAGAAACAAGAACAAAGCTTTAGCTTACGGTAGTGATATCTGATAGGTTCGTATAATCAACTATACATGAACGAGGTCCATTTCCGCGTTCTTCAATCAACGTGCTGATCTGTCTCTCTCGATCCACAATCCTGTAAACTAATTCATTATTTAGATTTTTTAACTCGATCATAAATTCCATCAATACAATCCAATGTACTGCAGAAATTTGTAGAAGGATGCAAAATGTCGTTATAGAAAAGAAGCGTAACGCTTAAAAGTGTAATACCACATCTTACCTGATACGTCTACTATCAGCAATATATAAATTTCCATATTTGTCAAAAGCGATGCCTTTGGGAAAAGTAAGCTGAGACATATCTGCGGCAGCACCATCACCACAACGTACAGCAGAACTCGGACATACATTTCCATCGCCAACCACCACATTGTAATTTGTTGTTAGATCTGTTGTACCGTCTACATCTTTATTTATTTGCCATATTTGAGCACGTATCGGCAACGAAATGAAAAGAGAATCAGTTAGCGGATCGATAGCCAAATAGTAGGGATGGGCCGTATCCGATATGCTGTAATATGAAATATACAATGGTTAAATGCATTTCTTCAATCAACCTTAAATAGGCATACAATTCGAATTATTCAACATGATCCAAGGAATTCGAGAATATATTCCAAGAATATTTACAATACGATTTTCCCTCTTCTATTGTGACCTAATTTTAGACAAAATATCAAAGTAATTTGAAAGTGCTATATGAATTCAATTAAAAAAAAAAAAAAAAAAAAAAAAAAAAGAAAAGAGGAACCTGAGTTCCAACACAGAAATAAGCATTCCATTGGGTGTTAAACGACGTATCAAATTGTAATCACCAATGTACAATGAACCATCACTTCCCACACATAACGCATCAGGGCGGAAAAGACGAGCATCGCTATAAATGTAAATTCTCAGTGCACTTTATTATTAGTAATTTAACAGATGCTTCTAAGAACATCAAGTAACAAAATTTTTTTTAGAAATATTTACAGTAGAGCTATCACATTTATGGTATGTTATTTCACAATCCAATATTTAAAATACAACTACAAAAGTAACTACTTCGGAAGACTAAAAAGTAGAAGTACCCAGCAGATGCATCACAAAACGGGCAGTTAATAGGACGCTGTTGATCACTACCAATTACTGTTGTTAATAACGGAGAAGCTTCATCCAAAAACACCGTTGTACCATCACCTTTCTCCAGCACATCTATAAACAGCATCTCTGATTATTAATAATTTATGGTAAGTACACATCGTAGTTAATAGTCAGAGGACCAAGTGAAATTAGTAACAAACTTTAGATAGAATAATGCAGTGAAATGATCAATTGTTCTGCAGATGGACAGAACTCAGAGAAATGATTAAAATACATACTGTGTGCAATATCGTAATGGTGATGGACACTCAGTGACCAACCGTTTAACATGAAACGGTTAGCGCGATGTCCTTCCAGTTTTACAAGGCGATGAATCCAAGCGATGCTTCTATTGCAACCTTCATATTCATATCCAACCGACACTATGGAGTTATTTTATTTTAAAAAGCCAAAATATATGAAAGATTTTATATGAAGGATATGATATGAAATATATGAATATACTATATATATATATATGAAATATGAAAGATTATAATATATAACGAATATATGAAATATATGAAAAATATGAAACATGAAACAAATATAAAACGAAAATATGAAAGATTTTCGGAAAACAGTTTAAATTAAGATTTTGTAAGTTTACCTTTAGCATTAACCAATCCATTCACAGTCTGAGTGTAAACATTCAACTGCTCCCACGAATAAGTGTACGTTAAATTCGGCACAGCCGAAAAAACTGTATGAAAATGACTGCCAGCAACACTGACGGAGAGATGGACCAAACGAATTTCTTCCGGAATACGATTTGGAAGTAACTCGATTAGCAACGTGCTACGATAGCCATCAGCAAATGAACTATCATACACGAGATATACTTCATTCGTGGTAGGTATCTTAAAAAAGGTAATTGACAATTTAATGCAGTAATGGAAGATGCGCTGATAATGAAAACGTTACAAAATAGAAACTAAAAAGTTTGCTGCAAAGGGTCAGTCTAATAAATCGTTGAAGTAATGCACATGGCATGACTTGCTGGTCTAGTTTTGATTTTAAATTTAGTTTTCATTTTTCAAAAATTCCATCCATAATATAATTAAGCACAAATGGACCAAGTTTAAGAGAGAAAACTGAAGATGAGATTGCATTAACCGAAAGATGAATAATGCGGAAGTAAATATCAATGCACAATTCAAGTAATATGAATCTTACCTGGATGGAATCAAACGATTTTCCCGAGTCGGCTAGTAGCTGAACACTATGTGCTGACGCGGTAAGTTTTCCGGAATATTGACTTGCACGCCAGGATGCAAATATAGCAGGAGCTAGGCGATTGGTAGCATAATACTGTCGGCACTTTTCACTGATTTCCAGTCTTTCACTTACAGCCACCGCCTATAATTCAGCTTGCTATCATGAAGGGTTAAAAAGCAATATAAGATGCATGCAAATTTCCATTAGGCCTCAGTTTTGATATGACTGGGAATAATGAATAGACCTGGAATCAGGATGACTTTATATTGGCACTGATAGTTTTTGAAGTGTCATCTATACTAAGGTAGTGGAAAGAGACAACACCTTTCGCCTACAAAGTCTACCACAAAAAGGTGATAGAAATGGGATACCGAGAATAGGAAAAATAATAAGACGATTAGTGCAAGAACCAAAAGCTCTTAATCACTTTACACTTTACTTAGTACATTAGTCGATTATTCCTCATTCGCCACAGTAAGCTGCGATAAAATCCAAAGCTCAGCAATTTGAAAACAAAAAAAAAATCATTTTAATAAGTGCTGGTCCAGGACAAGCGTAGAAATGGAGACTCCACATATTTCCTGCAATGTTTGGCCTGACCCACTCCCTGCGATGATGCAGGTGTCGGAGATTATGGCTATACTGATTAACCACCGGTATCTATTAAGATTTTAGGACCGAATCGAAATAAAGAAACAAGTATGAAATCTTGGAACTTCCAACATATTTTGATCATGTAACTGGAACTCAAGCCACAATATATTTTTGACTAGTTCAAGTTCTGAAATTCTCCTAATTGTTACACATAAGACGTCCTGAAAAATAGCTTACCGCCAGTCCCAGTCGCATTTTTATATCACCCACATAAACAATTTCATTCCACGGTATGTAAAAACTCTTTTCGAGCTTTTCAAACGGCTTCCTCATAAACTGCAAAGTTATCGTCTTGCCACCATTAACCACCAGATCAAAGGCACCTCCGTTATCCTCGCTACGACTCAGCGTGAAACCCGTCAACGTTGGATGCCTTGCCTCCGCAATACGTACGCCTGTAAGCGGTGAACCATCTTCAGCCAAAACTCGTCCACGGATGACTGATACAAAACTGTAATACCGTAGTTAGAAGTAACATTAATGGTTTTTGAGCCGATAACCAAACTTTTCAGACCTATCTTACAAACAGATAAAGCACCGCCCAGTTAAACCTGCCCTTAACAAGACATTCAATTTCCGAATTTAAAACTTAGCAGTAAAAAAAGGCTAACGAAGAATCTACCACTATTCTTCAAGGTGATTACTAAATATCGCTAACATTTTTATCTTTATTTTTTGCCCCCGATACATACAAAACACAACTGGATAAGAACCTTTCATTGAAATGGCGTTCATCTGCATAGCGCTGCACCGAGTCGCGCTGAACCAAAAATTTAATTTGCTGAAAAGGAGGAATTGGAATCAAAAAAAGCCTTGTTATAATATATTAAATATTCAATAAATATTCAATAAGACGACAACAGCTAACCTGATAGAAATTACCATTCACAGGCGGTATCACCTTTAAAAGCACATCACGTGGTTGTATTACAGTAGTGCACATCTGACTCGATAAACAGCTACTATCCGTACAGCACTCCGAATCTTCACAATCTATTAAACCGTCTAAAATAATCCAAAATGAATTCGTGATATAGAATCGACGTTCCTTCTCAGCAAACGATACAACTTTTCTTCTTTCTGTAACAAAATTTGATAGTGATACCGTTATCATTATCAACACCATCATCACAACTTGACTCCAATGGTAGAGAACAATTGTCACCAAAATATGATGTATGGCATGCACATTTCCACTGTCCGGAAAACAACCGACAAACACCATTTCCATTGCAATCATTGACACAGCCAGCTGAAAGTTATCAGTTTCTACAACAGGTACATTACTTCATCCATTTTACACGGTATCAAAGTACTCGTCATCACATGACACTGATTATATCAAAACGACACGATAATGAATCCGGATATATTCGGAAGGTTATTTCAGCGTTTTGAAATACCTCTTATATTAGTCAGACAAAAAGACGAACCAATGTAACAATTTACTCCATTCCAACCCTTATTACACATGCAAGTACCATTGTTGCAGTGTCCGTGTTGTTCACATCCAGGAAGACATTTCCGCTCCGTGCAATCCATACCTGTCCATCCTTCATCACAAATGCATACGCCATTACCACATCCACCGTTCATGCACTCCACTTCGCATCTCACTACAAATTTTACACTCAGTTCAGTTGAATTCAGATTAAATGAACAACAGTGACAGTGAAGACGTCAAAAGGTATCACAAACTCTGAGATACAAAGAAACAGAATTTCTACTAACTTTTACTAACAACCAAAACCTCGCAGTTAACCTACCTAATTCACATTTCTTTCCATGATAACCAGGAATACAGATGCATAGTCCTGTTTCTGAATCAATTCTCCCACGATTGGTGCAACCGGGGTCCGCGTCTAATTCTGGTTCTCTGTCACGTAAGCGAAGTTCTTTACCGAGACAAGTCTCCGCCGGATATATTTCGTCACATTTTTCCCCACGATATCCATCCTCGCAGTAACATTTCCCATCGTGACAAACACCGTGATTGCTACACTGGGGATCTTTGCAATCTTTCTAGAACATTAACGCATTCAAAGCTAAAATACAATCAAAATTTTTTTTGTAGCTCTGCTTATTTATGAGAGCTAATCAATCAGCGAAACACTAAGGTAAACGTAAAGAGCAATCCTTTGAAATCACTTTCCTGACGACTACTAGATCCATCAGATATAATAGTTGCATGCTACTTATCATTTCAAACCTAAGTCTAAACATTTTTAATCCCAATATTACCGCAAAATTTAAAGATGTGCTTTTTGGTGCAAGATGATAACTTACCACACTGTATTTCATTAAAATAAACTATTTATTTCCATTTAAATTGTTTGATATTTGTGTGTTTAAAAATAGCAAACGTAAATAAATACCTTGTCACAAAAATCACCCTTCCAGCCAATGTCACATTCACAGTCACCAAACTGGTTACACTGGCCATGTCCATTGCAGTTTGGTACTTCGCACCAATGCGCCAATAAATCGCAATCAGGGCCTTTGTAACCCTCATGGCATATACACTGACCACCAGAAAATATTCCATTTCCACTGCACAATATTGGACATGAACCTTAAGTAATATAAAACTAATATTTCATGAGTCCATGTAATGTATTTTAATTTACCACAAGATGGAATCTATTTGTGATTAAATCTCGCACAATCATATTGAGTGAGCTTCTAGAGAAATCGTACAAGTATCGAGTGCAGTCATTATAACTATGCGATATTCAGCGCCTATAAGCTCACTCCGAGTAAACTAAATCAATTCGGAACAAATGAATCTCGTGAGGCGCAAAATGGGTTGAACACCAATTATTCATTTTATCTATTTAATGGTCCCTAAATTCACTTCTATTCCAGCTTTTCTATGATAAATGTTTTTCAATCACAAATTCCTAGAGTTGAAGTAGTTGACCGTTTGCTTTGTAATACAAAAAAGAGCAACTGCTTTTCAAACGGAATTCAATGAAACGACCTTTACACCCTCCCAGAAGGAGGAAGACAATACTGAAGGATGTGAAATGCAATTCCTCAACCGCCCCTTCCCAACATTACAACACTTATCCCGAGTCTTAAATTTCTTCACTTCATCTCACACCTATCCTCACCATCCCGCCTACTCATGTTCATTTTTGACATCTTCAATTCAAATTTGACTTTACTTTTTAACCCAAGACTATATTACTAGAACAGTGAAGCTTTACTAGTTGGTTACGACCTACTATTGCAAAGTTACGACAGTACTTGATCAATTTCAGTGAGATAGCATAAATCAACTCTTGTATCATTTCATTTTGAAATGATGACAGCACAGATTAAAACTGATCAAACAGATAAATTAACCTTAATATAACTGTTTAGTGAGATGTGAATATCAAGACAGCCTATACTCATTAATGAAATTCCAATGAATGACCAACTTTCTTCGCAGTAAGTTCCACTGTATCCGGGAAAACAATAACATCTACCATCCTTGCATTGCCCGTGTCCTGTACAGTCATAACGGCAATCAACGGTCCTTTCGTCCACTACTTGGTCAGGAACCACCGCAGCAACAAGACGTATTGGGAATGGCTGATATAGCATTTTCAAATTATTAGAAAAACAAACATAAATGTAGAATTATAATAAAACACACGTGTGTAACAATGAAATAAATAACTGGTAAATGAAAATTTAGCTTTCTGCCTAAATCTCCAATATAGTGGCGGGAAAGAATAAATTCTTTTTATATTTAATTGGAAGTATTTTTCGATAACAGAAACTGACGCTATGCTTAGTTATTTATTTAAGTTTTTAGTTAGACAACAATCAACATCCAACTGCTCACTACTAACCCTTTATCAGATATTAAAAAGTGAACATTGATAACTAACTAGAGAAGCAACCTAGTTCTTTCATATCAAGTATTTGGACTTATATTTTCTCCAGATCCTAAATAGCCTAAAGCCATCTAGTTTTACATCCAAAAAAGATTTGTTAACAAAGTCCGATATCCGGATGTAAAACTGAGAAAATCTAACTCTGAAAAACTTATCCTTAAATTCCCATTTTATTTTGAAGTTAAATCGTCAGAAATACCTGTAAGACATCATTAAGTAATCCGATATGCCATCGTCCACCTAGCAAATAGTGTGTCAGGATCGCTGTCCGAAGCAGCTGCAATAAGTAATTATTTGCCATTTTTTCGGCTCTTATTTGTTCTTTGAAGATCAAAACCTTCCAACAGATAGTTTAAACAGCCGTATTAATTAATCAGCTATCTTTCAGACATCACTTATAACAGTACTACAGATATTAAAGCACAGGTGATATAAGTAATAAGTGAAGCAGAATTAAGTCTCTGGCTAACGGCTGTTTTCCAGTCTATGTTGTTCTTCTCGAACAACAAGTCGATACTTACATGATTTTTCATTTCAGTGCAAATAAAATTTCAAAACTGATACTTCTCTCGTCTCTATAAGGATAGAAAACAATTTTTTTGAGCTAACTTGGAATTGGCAGAATTGATTTTCATAGAAAGGATTCCATGCTCCAAACTTTCTCTTAGTTTCTTGCTAATAATTGCTACTTAAGTACAAGCGCACAAACAAACCGGTGTAAAACGCTTCAATCGGATGCTTGATGAATTTCCGGAAACGGTTAACCAATCCGCATGGACAATATCCATGAAATCATGGGTAGCCGGTGATGGTAATGCTGTTCGTCTACCGTAAATGACCAACTGTGCTTGTGGATCGACGGATATATTGAAAATTATTCGACTATTTTTTTGCACTGAGAAATATCTGACAAAAAAAAAAAAAACAATTAATTACGACAAAAGGGTTACTAGTGATGGTAGCATAATTAGTGGAAGAAATAACTCGAAGAAAGAACGACTAACCAAACACTAATTTCATCCTTAACCAAACCTTCTACTATTCCAAAATAAAAAACTGAATTCGTATAACCAATCCCCAACTACTTTCATGGATATTATTAAGCATTAATGCAGCATAAATGTAATTGGTGAGAAGAAACATACGAATAAACAATAATTCCCGGAGGTAGATCGGCCTCAATTTGTTGTCCTAGTTCAAAACTTTCAGGTAATGGTTTTAAAATAGTTGCTTTAATGTGCACATCACGCCATGTACCCGAATGGAACAGGCCTGTTGAAGTTGATGAATACACCGATTTGGTCGACTGCTCACATACATATCGAGAATTATCACTTCCTAACAATACTATAAGAGGGGAAATCAGAAGAGATCATTCTAAAATAGGCGAAAATGAAATATATAAGGAGCGAATTCAACTATAAATGTTGTCAACTAAATGCACAGTGTTTCCCAATCCCATGGACACTTTTTTCGTAAATCCTATAGAGTTCAGAGTTCAAATGGCAGCATACCAAAAATTACACACAATGCTTGACATCCAAAATAAGCTTAAACAATCTACGGAGCTAGTGATTTGAGCAAATATCGAGATTTTTAGAAAAATTAGACAGGATATTGAGTTGCGCTATTCCTCAGTATTTAATTAAGTAGAAAAAGCTTAAGTAATAAATTTTGAGGCTACAATAGCAAAGCAATAACAAATTTTTTAAAGCAAAATGCGTTAAAAATTTCCAAAATTGAAATGCCTTTTGAAATTTCCTTTTTCTCTGTGACCATACTTAAGATCCAAATGGAGGTCAACAAATGAGTTAACACTTACACAAAAGTATAGTGAAACAGGTGAAGGCAAGAGAAAGAAGAAGTAATATGGCAAAAGTTCTCCAATTACAAAACGGTTTCAATCTTTTCTTGTCCAACGTCGTTGGTTGACATTTATCCTGAGACATCTTTTTTAAACCAAAATCACCATGACTGATAATTCGATGTTTAAGAAGGATAGATCCACAGTGAGATCCTCGTGGATTCGATTTCAACGGCACATTTTGTAATGTCGGAAAATTAGCTCTGCAATGTAAATGTGGATAATTGTCAAAAATTTAGTTAATGAAAAGATTCGCAATAAATATGTCTCCATAAAAAGAAGACGGATTTCAAAAAAATTTGTTTTATCAGGAATGGAAAGTATGGTCAGTCTTGATTCCCAATTTCTTCCTCTTCTCCCATCCTCCCTTCGTCTAAAAGTTATCGTAAACGTCAAGATTTAAACTTTTACAGTAGAAAATATCATTTAAAGACAAATGTTCTTTCTCCTCATTGTTCTTTAAGAAAAAAGTGAAAAATGATTAAACTTTACGGTAATGAAAGTAAAATCATCATTTAAAATCAAATGTTGCAATGGGCAGTCAGAGTAAATAAAAAGAAATTTACATATAGGCTATTTCAAATCTTAGAAAAAATTCACAACAGTGTATTGGCCAAATTACGGTAGATCATGATTCTCCGTAATGCTTGATTACTGTGTAGTTTGATTTATTTTTGCACTATTTATTATATCGAAACAAAAAAGAAAATCCATGTTACACGATTATATTGAGAAAAAGAACAAAAGTGCTCAAAATGATTGCTTGAAAGTTTGGCAGATCATTAATGAATATGAATATTAAGCTAAGATTTAAACTCAAATTTAAATTCGGTCAAATTACAACGTATAAAGCAATGAAGCTATTGAAAATGAAAATGGACTAGTAAGTGGGAAAGCCATTCCAGGGTTAGCGACACTAATTAGATTTGAGTTTAATTGAAGGGGCGGTGAGCATATAAAATCACTGGACCCATTGTGTGACGTCGTTGAACCAAACAACAGTAACGGAAAGCAATAACAATCATGTAATTAAACACAGTTGTAAGCACTCTTGGCACGCATGTCATGCCCACTTGACTCATAGTAGTATCGAATAGTTGGAAACTTAATGAAAATTTTCAACAATAACATCATGCAGAGCGATATGACGTGCAAATCTTAAGACCAAATAATCAGATCTACTCGATATTCAAACATTAATCGAACTATGTGTTTTTAATTGATATCATGAGAATTGATTATTTGGCTATGTATTTTTAGCTATACATAGTGTTAGTTAGATTTATTATTGAACCCACAAATCAAAGCACTGTAACCTTTCAGAGTTTTTATATTCCTGTATTCGACCTGAAACATTCGACTCTTAATCTATTGATATTTGCTATGCAGTAAACATCCTTTGACGTTTCCATTACCAGCGATCGCCTAATCCAGGAAATTGATATTTCTAAATAAAGATTGTGTATTTTCGCGACCCTACTATGGGTGCAGAAGTGAGAGAAGAGCAAGAATGACAGTCATCAGTTCATAAATATAAGACTCATTCTAGTTGCTGTCACAATTTCTTAATATTTTGACATCAGAGAGACTACTGTACAATCATTGACGATATTTGCTGCTGTTCGCTTAAGAATAACATCATTTGACAGAAGTACAAACTTCATAGTTAACTCTCTACCCTCTGGTCACATTTGGAACCTCGAAACTCGCTTATCGGGTTAGCTATCAAGCTATTTTGTTTATATATATATATATTCCCTCAACAGATTGAATATTAAATTTCGAAAAACGACAAATACATTACAAAGATACAAGCAGCAGATTCCATATTTGGTATGGTCAATGCACACAGTATAGTTATACAGTATGGTCAGTGCACACCTGTCGTGTAACTATTGCTGCATTTTTAAGGGAATTGCAATAAACTGCTCTTTTCAGATGTTAAAATGAAAGAAAGGCCAAATGTAGATATTATTGATTTTGCTGAATTATCAAAATGATTCTGAAAATCGGTCAATAAATCTGTTGTGTTTAAGCATTCAAATGTCACACCAAATGATTCATGCAAGACTAAATCGTTATATTGGATTGCTGTCATTAAAGTATATATTTTTATTACTTACTTTTCATAAAAACGGTTGTGTGATGATAAAAACGATGCTGTCGTATGACCTGAAAAAATGATGCTCTACTTTTCTCATTTCATTAGAAGTATAAATTTAATAAAGAAAGGTATGAATTTTGTAGTTCATTAAAATTCTTAATTAATTATTGGCCATAGAGCAGTATGCTAATATCCTCTCAATTAAACTTTCAACTCTTTCGAGGATTTATTAGCTCTACCGAAAAACTTGTTTACATTGTCTGATTTTATGCAAAATTTTAATTTATTTTTGATATTTTTCTAATGACATCGAAGAATTAATAAAAATTGAATTTGGCCCATCATGAAAAGCGCTCATAATGCATAATCCAATGATACTGTCTATTGCTATTAATAGTAAAATGTGTTGAGGGAAGCAATTAGTTGAATGAATGAGGCCATCACCAATTGATCCCTCCTATCCTTCCCTCAACTCTCCAAATCTCTCACCAGACATCAACAATAAAACTAACTGAATAATAATATCTTATTTCCACATTCCAAAGGTTAACATTTCTTTTTTTATACCGCTATCTCTGTCCTTTGCTTTCATCTTTATTCTTTTATCACTGGACTATTTACTTCCAAATTTTGCTAAACAAATCCTCCAGACGGTAATTCAGTGATCATTTGGTCACTCTTTTTGGCTTCTTATCATCTACAAATCATTGTTTTACTCCCTCCCAACATAGTAATATGATATCCCACTTCTCAATCTACCATTTCAAGCCTAATTTCCTGAAAGAAACTTCGTTTAAATTTAAATCAAATGATCTGTCATATTTTTGAAATTCCGCTTAAATTTTACATGGATGATAGCGCAACATTAGGACTAGTGGAAATACAATATGTCACACAAGTGTTCTCTAGAAAAATACTCACTATATGGTGATCAGACCAAGACAGCTGCATACACAAGCGCTTAAACGAGCATATGGTAAGCATATGATGTCACTCAAGTAAGCCCATCTTATCAGACTTTATTGCATTTACTTATCAGTAAGTTTAAAATTTCCACAGTGCATTACCTAGAAGTACCTCGTCAACCCATTGGATAGGAAAACTCTCACCATCCCCTCAAGACGAAACATGACGAAATTTCATCTTTCCCTCATCAACCCCTCACTCTTTCTTCTATCTCTCCCATCTTATAAGAATCAGTTATATGCCAGGCAAAAGTGTATGTGTATGTGTGTGTGTGTGTGTGTGTGTGTGTGTGTGTGTGTGTGCGCCCTGCACGAGTTAAGCCAAAAAACAAATCTAACCTCCTTCGTCGGATGATCGGAAAGCAATACAAAAGTAACAGGCTTCTAGCTTTCCTCTTTCGCAGATGATTTTTAATCAGAACATAACATAATAAGGTGATGAAAGTGGCATTAAGCGTTAAAATTTGAATTCTTTTTAGCACTTGCAATCTAATTTCCTATTCACAAAGTATAACATTTGTAGCTTTGGAAGTCTTTTTACCAAACCTGTTTATGAGGGAGGAAAGTCACCAACAATTATTTCACATTAATCTGACCTCAAAGCTTCATCTAGAATACTATAATTACTGTCCATACCATTAAAATGATTACGAGGAAAAGTTTACCTGAACTTGTTGGCACGTAGTAGCTGCCAGTTTCTGGATTTTGAAGCAACATCTGCCTGGTTTCATCATCCCACTGTGAACCAGACTCTGCTTCTTGTTCTTTTAAGCGTGCGTTACGAGTGTTAGGAGTAAAAGTCGTACGTATCTGCAGTACGTGATTATAAACCACACAAAATATCCTATCATTTGTTTAAAGAGATGAAAATTTCGGAATAGTAATTTTTCCCTGTTTTTCTTGGAAAAAAGAAAAAGAATTCTTTGATCATTCAACATGAATTACATTAGTAATTGCTACATGTAGCAGCCCGTTGTTCATCTCATTTTCCGTTTACTGAGTTAGAAGCGATTCAGTTTCGCTTGCAAACTTTCTGATTGAGTGAATAGTGAAATAATTTCAAGGAGCACATCGTACCTGTTGTGATGACGATATTTCATAATTGTTATTCAATAATTTAGAATGTCGCCTCGATGAAACCAGTCCTGAGAGATAATAGATATTATCCATTGCAATTTCGTTAGTTTTTATTTGAAATTAAAAATGGAATATTCATTTTCGTTTAGAACAATAGGAGTTAGTGTAAAACAAATGAAAAGCACAGATAAAATAACAGTAAAAAAGTTCTAAACAAGCGATAAGAAGAAGTAATAGGTTAACAATTAGGCAGCACAAGAGAGGAAATCCAAAATGAATTATACCCATTCACCACAGATGTACTATCAATAAGTAATGCCTATCTGTAAGGGTCAAAAAGTAACCTTTGTAGTATTTCTCCGTTTCCGGTGGGATCCCTGGTTCATCATATTGTGAATCATCGACAACATGTGCTGTGCTAGCTTCATCTTGTATTAACGGTGGAATCGGTGGATCACGCTGTGGAGGCGGACCTCTCATTTCAGTTGGTGCTGAAGGCGGCGGATAATTTGGAGGTGAAATATTAAGGAAACCTATAATATGGATGAAGTTAGTAAACCGTTCATGGAGTATAAGTTAGGCTAATTTAATTTCAGTTTCTCAAACAAATACACCTATTCCACAGAAGTGTTCGAAATATATGGCTAATAAATATATGCTAATAAGGAATAGGACAGTACAATAAACTATTATACATCCTTACTAGGTCACGCTGAACACGAACTGTTAGACTTTACGGGTCAGTGATTTTTCCCAAAGATGCGGAATTCTATCATATAGATTTCAAATAACGGTAAATTAAAACAGCGCTTAAATTCGTTGAAATTGAAGTAAAATCGAGGTAATGATATTAATCAAAGTGGTAGATGTTTGACCAATTTGAAAATCAATAGTTATGTGAACAAAAATGAAATATGAAGATCAGATTGGGGAATACTAACATCTTCATTAATTAGTGTTTCATATGTTCAGTTCATCTGAATGATCTTTTGCAATCATTTGACAGTGACACTGATAAAACATACTGGTTTTATTTTCCCATGTGTTTCGGAAGATATTGGATATTTGTTATACGGATGAGGTAAGTCAAGAAGTTTTAATGAGCTTATACGATAGTCTAAAATTAAACATTAACATCTTCTTAAAACAAATTTCAGTCTATTTTTCAGAAAACAAATAAAACTGTCTGTAGCATACAAATTACTAATTGTTCAGTAAACTTAATATCTTTAAATGTCGTGAAGGAAACCGTTGACAAAACGGACTTGAAAAACAGATTTTATAGAAAATTTCAAATTCCTAACAAATAACGTACATCTGAGACATCCCGCCCAAATAGATTTCAACGTTATGTACAATTTTTCTACACGTGAGTAGAACATTTCACACCTTCTCAGACTCTCAGGAACCGCGGTCTCACGATTCAGTTCTCCTTACATATGTAGAGGATTGAACAAGAGAAAACAGCTAATAATTGAATATATTTAACATATTATTTTCTAAAGCTCTCGATACTGCCGTTAAAATGTTTCACACTTCTTCAATACGCTTGATAATCCAAACAAATCGATTAATTTTTCATACATCACACTTTAATAAAACCATTCTATTTTCCTTCCATATATGCAAGTATAAATGCAGAAAAATATTTACTTTAAAATATTGAAAACGTTGCTAAAATTAGCCGTCCACAGAAAAAAGCTTAGCTCTCAGAGGACTCATTTTATATTTCAGTACACCACAATGTACACTTTAGGAAATTGTCAAGTACTTCTTGGTGGGAAGGATTATCAGTGCAAAGTGCACAATTTTTCTATATCAGAAATGAAATACAATTCCAAACACAAACACATACTGTGCACATTTGGAATGATTGCACGCGAAAGCTATAAAAATCTCATGAAAGAGAGCTGTTTGAATGTTTTCTCATTTTGGTCAAACTTTCGTCTTACTTTACTGACACTCAAATTCTCTTATTTTCTATTAATATTTCATATTATTTAACGCATATTTCGGCAAAAAATAAAGCAAAAATAGAATAAATGTTCCAAAAGATAAGGAAAGAACGAAATAAATGAAATATAAAATTGAAATAATGTAAAGTATGAAGTAAACGTTCAAGGGAACGATAACTCCCAAAAGGTTGCATAAATCTAAATCCTACAACCGGAATGATTGTGATGTCCTCGTAAAAATATTAAAATTTAGTTAAGCATGAAATTTCAGAATAGTCTTTTCTTTCCCAGTAGGCACAGCCTTTGAAAATATAACCTGTACTAATGCAGACAATAAGAAATTCTTATGCGCGAATTTCCAATGAATAGTTATTCTGGGACTAAGTGTTGCGATTTCTGTTGAAATTTGCTATATGATATTGAAATACAACAAATTCCCTCTTTTCTTCCTAGTCTTGGCCAAGCTTACTCAAAGCACTATCTGATCAAATATTACCTATTTAAGTTGATTGGGCATTCAGAATCACTGAAGCAGATGGCCTGTACGACATCAAACGAGTAGTTTAAAAGGCGCCAAACGCCTTTTGAAAAGCTCTAACTTGACCTGAACAAAAGGACAACCGCTATGACAACGTAACAATTGGTGATTAATATTGATAACGTAATAATTGTTGAGTTACAAAATCAAATATTCATAATTATGGAAACATCCTTGTCTTTTTCCACACACACAGAGATTATTCACTTAATTAAATAATGAAGTTGACACATGAAATAATAGCAGTTAACAAATGAAAGGATAATCAGATCACGTAACCGAGCATGACGACACCGATAGGAGGTTGTTCTTTCATCTGCATTTCTAGAAAGAAGACAGGACGGATTGCTCAACAGTCGTAAGCATCAGTAAAGGCAGGATGTCGCCAGTACTAAAGACATTCACACAAAGGATTCTTAGCTTCAGAACCGAACCGTCAGAATGACCGGATTAGTCGCGGTACCCAACTACATTAAGCAATTGCGAACAACGAAATACCCCACTATTGCCATTGCTATCGCCCCGTCTGAGGGCGGAGACGACTTCGACTGCGCTCAGCATTGCCGATCTTTCTTCTGCAGCTTGTTTATTCTCTTGCTTGGTTTTTTTTGAAGCATCGATACAATATGAGCTTGAATAATTTGGAACCAATGCGTAAGGGTCACCACAATAAGCCTACTAGCATTATGACAAATACAGTTGGAAAAAAGTCAAATCAATTTCTAAGCCTGAAAGTTACGAATTTCGTTTTTCGTTAAAGATCTGAAACTCTTTAATCGATAAATTATTCCTCTCTATTTAAAGCGAATTGAAAATTTCTCGAAAGCTTTTGAATTCAGACGAAATAATTTGCGAATAGAATCGCAACAGTAAGGAATGCATCTAAAAGTTGTTTTTCGGAAAGAAGCCTATTAGTGAGAAATAAAAACCGATTTGGTTCGTAATGTATTCCCGAGTGGTGATTTATGAATTATTTATTCGGCAAGTTCATCAAGCATCTTCGAGAGTAAAGGTTCTGAATGGATGGATAAACTGAATTACTTGCCGGTTTGTTTCAGTTTGAAATGGCATCCTGGGACTGGACAAGAGAGATCATAATCGAATTAGCGTAAGAATTGTGGGCTATTTAGATAATTGAGGACAGAAATCAGCTAGACAAATAGATTGAACTGTGATGGGAAAAAAGGCCAGATTAGCAGGATAAATCGAATTGAAGTTACGAACTAAGCTCAACTGGGCCAACCTCACCAATTGTCTTGTCCCAAATCACCACTTTAAAATGACCATCACGTTTGATTGGCCTAAAATTTATAACCACACGTTAAACACTTGTATTAACACGTGAAGAAGCTATTAAAGTTATTACTTTAGTAAAGCAGAGAAGAAAACTCAGGAAATTTTTATTCATGGTAAGAGAAATATAGAAATAAAATTGCACTAATTGGTGCTGACAAGGAGCGGAGTAAAGTCACATGCGCTTCCGCCTCGATACTAAATTTCGCTTCCATTTGTAAATTTAAAACAATTTCTCCTTATAACAAACTCGTATAGGAGGATTGTTTGGTGAAATTCGCTTTTTCAAAATATATAAATGAGAACTAAGAAGGATAAGATCCATAGAAAATGCAACAAGAATTGTTGATGCTATCCAATGGTTAATGACCACTTCACTCATTCAATACTAACAATTACTTCAACAATTCCAGCTAAACATATCTTGTCTAACCATTTCTTCATAGCGAATATCCAGATATTCATGCGTAGATGAGAAACTATCATTAATTATCCAATTACTGCTCACTTATTTGTTCACTTGTTCAAACTTAAGGCTTCAACAAAGCTTAAAATCAAAGCGTCAAATTATAGATAACTAATTAATTGCAAATAATTATAAAGGAAATTGTTACAGTAATCTGATCCAGTACTATGGTGAAATATGAGAAGTGAAACATGTGTCACAGAGCAGGGTAAGAGGTTGATGAACGACAGGAGAGTTTAGGGTAAAATTGAGGTAGGGATGTCGATCAGTGTCTAAATCAATGAGAATGCAACGAAGCGGAAGTTGATTCCAAATTACTGGGTTATAATAAATGATATCCTTCCACAATGGCAACACCTTATAGCAATCGACTATATGACCTTAAATTATAGGCTCATAAAAATTAAACATCAAACGATGGATGCGCTTTCATCTCTCCGTTTATACCAGGAATGATTTGATTTTTATGAAATGATAACTTGTAGTGAATAATGTAACTATTAAAGTTTTTAATCACCGAGGCTTATTCAGTACCTCAATGCCCGATGTATCTCGGACAACAGAACTTAAAATGATCCTTTGGCTTTAAAGCAATAATCTGCGGTTAAGTGATTACCAACTTTTTTCTTCAGCTTATTTTACTAACTCTTTAGTTTAAACCCCAATTTATAACAATAGTCCTTTAGCTAATTAATTAATTGAAATAATTCTAAACAGCAAATTCATGCACAAAGTTATCAGTTAATTGCTGAATTTTGGTTTTAACTAAATTTAGAGTGAAGAAGACAAGAAATAAAGGTGTTCAGATATCTTGGGAAATGCAAATATTCAACTAATTCGAACTTTACTGATCACATCACTAATGAATAATTCATTATTACCTGATTCCGTTTTTCCGTATATTAACCATCTGGTGGAATTTTTATGGTTTATTTTATTTTCAAATGGCAAATCTGCTTGCGTGCACTAATAAAACATAAACTTACTGCCGGCAAAAGTACTATCTGTAAGAATAGGTGTCGGACGCTGATGATAGGGGCCGATCGAAAGGCAAGGAATTGGTTCAATGCTGCTCATTCCCCTGCAAAACAGTTGTAAAAGCACTTCAACCGAATGATTCTATCCTTAAATAATTTTGATTTCAAAATAGTTCCCCTTCAATTGACATTCTTCGTGGGTGCTTTCACTATTAGCATCAATTATTTCCCTGTTTTGTATTGTGATACTTGGTAGAAAGCAAAAAAAGAAAACAAAAAAAAGATTTTCTGAATCTATGCTGAAATGGCTGTCCGTTTGACAGACAAGTGAAGATACATATATTTATAGTTGATAAAAGTAACCGCCCTAATGCTTTCAGCTTAAATGTTGAATGCTATCTATTATACGTGAAAGAATTCGTTTTTCAGAAAGGATTACTATGCTTGCTCTGGCGCATAATCAAAGTTAAATGATAAGAAACCAGCAGCCAAGAGTGTTTTCTCATTTTATGGCTCATTTTCATCTGACATCATTATCTATATTTACCTGGGACCCTTACCTGATGGAAGAATGGATTGGATAAATTAACTCAATCTAATCTAAAAACAAATTGACATCGCTCTTTCAAGATTAATTACTATGTTCAAATTATTGGCCTCGTCACTCAAAGAAATCTCGGGAATATAACTTACTCGGTTGATATGTTTGTTGAAGTGAAGATTGATGGGCCTGAATTAGTTGTTGTTGTAGTGGAAAATGCCGATGAACCGCTTACTTCTTCATCACTGTATCGTAACTCATTAAGTGGCATCAGTTCACGCTCACTACTTAATAAATCCTCATCAAGTTCGAGAGCTGAAATCAATTAAATTTATATTGAAAACAAAAAACGCTTAAAGTTGAACTTTAGTAGTTCTTAAAAATCATTTCCATAAATCTAAGGGATGTAAGGTAGATATGCTATGAGTACGTCCGGGAAAAAAACTGTCGTAGTACTTTGTATTGGAAAATGAGCAGTAGATTAAACACATGAAGATCTACTATGATTTGATTTAGGCTTTTAAATTTTAATTTTGTTTGTTTAACACTGCCAGGAAAGATGCAACAGAAGAAGAGGGATGTGATGCGAAAGAAAAGTGGTCCTTCAGGAATGATGAAGTACCAATCTTTGTTAGCCATTTCTGAAAAGGGTCAATCGATGTGTTCTTGGTCAGCACTGTTTTGTTCCGACACGGAGTACATACAACGAAAACAAACTTTTTTTATGCTTTTATGCTCAGAAATGGTTGTAATAGGGATGAAAAAATCTGAACGTTTTTTAATCATTCATGTAATTTTGGAAAAAATTAAGGAAGAACTTTCGTAAATTAAATCTGTTTGAGTCAAAGGTCATGTCCTGTCATCTGTTGACGAGATTAAAAAAAGCAATAGTAATGCATCTTTTTCTCCCTAATAGAAATGATGACAAAGAAAGCACATTTAATGAATAGTCGGATTCACTTCAAAATTATATTTTTATTTGAAATTTATAGATTCTTGAACCGATGACTCATCACCTTCATATGAACTTTACAAATCGATAGCAGCACAATAAGCAACGGGTTACAAATTTCTTAAATTTTTAATACGACAAAAATAATGTTTCAAACGGTTCATTGATCCCTATACGAATCAAATTTTCACAGCATTTGAAAAAAAAAGCTTATGAAAATTTCTTTTGCTAATCAAACAAATTTTGTGGATAAAGGAAAAATGACATGTCCTTCTGAGAATTTTTTGTTTACTTTTCGCAGTTTACTTTCAGGTATTTAACGAGAAAAAAGAGACAAAAAGGTATGGCTCGAATGATTTAATGAAGAAAATAATTTTAAACTGTCTAAGGAATGGCAAATTTGGTGCCATTTTTTCAAAAATTTGATTAAATGTAAAAAGTTTAATGTGGTAATTAATTCAACTATTCTAAACAAATTGAGATGAAAAAAAAAAAAACATAACGAGGGAATTTTATTACATATCGAATTGCTGAGCGGACTAAAATGGCCTTCGATTGGGGTAACTCTTTCGACCATTATGGCTTTGAGGTTACTTCGAGATAATTCAATCCAATCATACATACAACACAAGGAAGGAAAGATCATGTAGTGAAAATGAACGAAGTGTTAGAAAAAGGGTAAATCAGAAAATGAATAAATATTTTCACCAGAAGGCTAAATTCATTTTTTTTGTTCAAAATCTTTTTGCAAATTACATATGTGAATTTAATTTTTAGTGGTAGAAATTTCACATTTGAATAAAAAATGTCCGTCAGCTGGTTTACGATCAGTGAATTGATCAAAGATTGAAACAAAAAGTTTCTCAAATTGATAAAACCATTAATGTATAGTCTGCCACTTTCCTCTATTGCCGATTATTTATTTATTCCTCAATCGAAACTTGTTTGATTAGTTAAATGAATACAAAAGATATCGTGGAGGCAAATGAATTCCTCATCTTTTAGATATTATTAATTGCGTGAAACTTTACGTAACGAACGTAAGAATTTCTGCGTGAAACTCTACAAGTGAACTTTTACTTTGGATGGGAACATATCTATGTTCAGGTAAGTTTAATTTATTTTTAACTGAATGATTAATTGGAAATCAAAACTGTTTACTTTCAAAGTCTTCTATGCCTCTTTCAGTGGGAACATAAAAGATACTGATGGAAGTGGAAAATCGCATTCAGAGGTACGGGAATGAAGAAAAGGAATTCAATTTGCTCCAATAATAACACTTTCTCCGTAATCATTTTTCCTTGTTTTCTGTGGGAATATTTGCTATCACAAATGTCACCTACCGGACAATGAAAATATTGTCAAAATGACTACTTAACATTTTGCATAGATACAAATTCTTTTCTGATTTTTCATTACTGCCCACATACTTCTTCCTTCCTCTCTAAGGAGATTAACTTTGTCAAAAAATATTATTTCCGGTTATAAATAGGAATAGAATAACATGATCAATTTCGGATTGTTGTAAATATTTGAATGAATTAACAAAAATCTCCAAAGGGAAATGAGTTATATCTCTCATAACTTCCATTATATATCCTCATTCCACTGTACATTTCCGAATGGCTTCTTTTTTTTTTTTTTTTTAAATAACTCTAACGTGATCAGTTAATTGCGAATTGAAATGATAAAATTAGAATTTTTCTGATAACCTGATGAAGGGATCATTTATCAGTGATATCAAGAGATTCCAGTTTAATCTTCATTTTAGTTATCGCTGAAATACCTTACAAAATTCGAAAGATTTTGAATTTTGACCGTATACCAACCTCACGCTGTATCGAATGCACTTGCACTTGCATATCCTCCCTGCACATTTACTAGTCATGTGCAACTGCAAGCACATCCGAAATGTAATGGTGTCAATACATAACTTCCTAGTAGGAATATATATATAAGGTAGGAAGAGTCATTCTCGTTTTTCAAGTCTGTTTGATGCAATAAGAAAACCTTGCCACTTTCATATCTGTCTGAAGGTGACGATTGATGTGTTTCGTTCGTAGTTAATCTATAACTGACCTATATTCAGTTGTACCTGGCATAACTGAAAACAGATGGGAGAGGATCTAAGTTCCTCTAATTCCAAATAGTTCCATAAGGGTATGTATAGAAGTTAGATTGTTAAAATTTAAATTTCATTTGATAAGTTTACCAATAGAAAGTTGCGGACTTTTAGAGACCAAATGATGGGCTGATTTTTGATGTGTGTTGGTCGGATGACTGCTTTCCAATGAATAGAAAAGCTTTGGTTTTGATCCTGGTTGTTGTTTTGCGGTGATTGTTCGAGCAAAACATCCAAATCCATATCTTTCTTTTTCACTTATCATTTGTATATATGCTGATCTGGCCTGAGAAAAATAAGTAGTTAATTGAAGAAATTCAGCAGGAAGTATCAATCGGCATGCTTACTAAGATAAATATATTGATAATGATGACGAGATAAAAAAAAGAAAAATGATAATGATATGGTAATAGTGACGGCAATCTAAAATTTAAATATAACTAAAATAGCTATTTATAAATGGTAGA